GAAACACTGAACTGGGAGGAGGGGAGGGCAGAGAGTGGGGAAAGAATTTTGTAGTTTCTCTCTAGGAAATCCAGGAAATATTTTTTCCCCCTGGTTCCTAGATGACAGAACAAAAGGAAACAAATCAAAAAGAGTTTATCAGCCTCAGTAATACTGGACATAGCCTCACTGTCCAGCATATTAACTACAAGAAGAATTTTGCTGGTTCTATTATGGGAGAGTTCAAATGAAGAGAAGTGTTGTGAGTCTCATTCCTTTCTTAAAGCTGGGATATGGGATGAAGATACATGGTGCTCAGAACTGAGCTTTCAGAGCAAAATACTGTATTGGAGATTATTCTGTACCATGTTTTCCACTTCCCCAAGCTCCTTAAATTATTATAATTACTGAAAAATTTAAGTTACAGCCCAGACACTACAGGGTCTTGTAGATTGGAAATTGAAAGCTGAATTTTCTCAAAACACATTTTCCATGCTGATGTGGATGGTGCACAGATGCAATAGAGCTTTGGTTTATCCCGCTTCAAAGGCAAACAGTAGCAACTGAAGCAGCAAATGGCCTTTGAGAGGCAGGTGAATTTGTGAGGTTTGCTGACCATCTTTTCATCTTTGTTATAAGAAATAAAAGAGGAATTACTTCAATATCAGTCAGATGGCCAAAAGAGGACCAGAGACACTGAATGTGTGGCAATACCTGAAATTGTATATTAAACTATCTCATATTTGCTTGCCAATGAGAAAAAAATTTGCTGACATGCTTTCTCTTTCTCTCCTCCTCTCAGAGTGAAAACAGGATAGAAAACAAAGTAATGAAGCCGTGAGGAAATGATTAGTTGCTATGTGCTCCACTGCAAACACATTTTTCTATAAAAAAGGTGTGAAAGCATTTTCATGCTACATTTCAAACTCAGTAGTTCCAATTCACCAGCCTTCTGCACCAATTCTCAGGTCAATGTCATGAATTTCCATTTCAAAATAGCAGCCTGTTTTTCCACTATAATCCTTACTCACCCAGTCTTCCTTTCTTTGTTCCAGTTACTGTGGTAAGCAGAACAAAATACTTGTGTAACTTCCAGCACATGAATAATCCACCAAGGTCAGACCCCAGTACTGTCTCTTCCTTGTTACACTATACCATGTCTTTTCATGTCTTCAAATTCATTCTATTACAAAGAAAAAAGCAGGCAAAAAGGATGATAAGGGGTTTTTTTATGTTGCATGTAGTAGAAACTACATTTTGAAGTCTCTTTTCTCCTGGGCACAAAGTTCAGAGGCAGCCTTGAAGCTCAGGACTCTGCTGGGATTCTATACCATTCTCTGCTTAATAAAGTAAATGCAAATATAAGTTCTCTTAACATCTAACTTTTGTTCTGTTCATCTGCATGTTTCCTTGCTACTGTTAGAAAAAACCCCAAACCTAACAGCATTGTTCTAATCATCCAGGCTGAATGCTTCGAAAAAGTAGACTTCATTTTGGGGAATCTTCCCTGTTAACCCTCCCCCAACATTACTCTTGGCCTGTTCTGTAAGAATAAAAAAATAAATCTGTGAGGTTTGGAGTAGATAGATACTTAAGATAGATAGATAAGACCAGTAATGTCCTGATTCCCCTCCCCCCGCCACCAAATACAAATGGTTTCACAAAAAGGTCTGATCATTTGCTCCAGGTTTTTATATACAATATTGAAGAGCATAACAGAAGGAGTCTAAATAATGCCAAAATGCTCATGTAGGTTTCTTTCAATTGAGGACTGTTTCAAGAATTCTGACAGTGCACACAAAGTGAATTAACATAAACATTATGTTACTTTCATTGTAATAATAGTAACAATTTAATGTAATCAGTGCGGTGATGGAGTAGTGAGTCATTGCTTTAGGAAAATGACCAAGGAGTCTGGCTAACAAACACTTGTAGTCAATGAAGATTGCCTGCCTTTAGTATACATCAGGAATTAATGAGACCTGTCTCCACTATTAGAATAGTAGACTGAGACACTCCACTTTCAAGACCTGGTTTGCACTGAGGCATTAGTTAGATCAATTCTACCTCACCAGACAGTTCAGTCTGGAGCAGTAAAGCACACTAGCCTTCAGCAAGCTGCTGTCAACCCCCTCCCTGGTAAATGAAACAGAAAAGGCCAGTGCTTCATTTGCACTGCTGTTCCATGCCACATCACAGAGAGAGGCACGGACATTACTGCCACTGCAAGAGAGGGGGGAGTTATGGGAAAAAAACCCCACAAAAATGAAAAGAAAAAGAAAAGCATAGTTCATGGCTGTTAATTAAGTTCAGTCACCTTGTGGAACCTACTTCTGGGGTGAGGTAATGCAGAGGATTCTCATTTGTACAACAGAATTTTCTTCTAACTCCTTCCTATGCAAGACCTGTTTTCCCCTGCTTCTTTGGGTCTGAATGACTAAGCTTTTCTACAGTCTTTTTTCAATAAAACCTTTTTGCTTCCGCCCAAGGAACAATTATAATAGCTAGCCCTTTGTATTTTAAGTTATTCATTAAAGTTAAATGGCTTTATCTTCAAGGTTGTCCTAGGGCAACTATTATAAGGTTAACCTTTTTATAGCAGTGAATTCAGATAAGTTTCTCAATTTTCTCTGAATCTGGTCAGACACAAATATGTATGACTATGTCCTTGCTATGGTTCACAATTGTTGCCTCAATACCTATTTTGATTTCCCAAAGCAGCACTGAACATCAAGGGGAAAAAGGTCAGAAGCCATGAAAGGCAGTTTCAGAAAGACATGAGTAAATCTCATCACTCTCTTTTTTTTTTTTTTTTCTTGTTAAGACAGTGATCCTCAATACACTGTCTAGATACAACTGGGTTATTGTACTTAGTACAGGGGTAACAAAAAAACCACCAAAACCACACAGACCAAACCCCAAACCTAGTAAATTCCCTCAGAGCAATCTTGCTTAGCAGAATCTTTACCCCAGCCACATATTCCCAACAGATCACCATCCCCAAATCTCTCCCAAATCTGGACTGTTCCTTGGAAATCTCACCTAGAAAGCAGATTTTCTTCTTTATTTTCACTTTTCAAATTAGGCTCTTTGAATGCTTTGCTAAAACTCCTTTTCAAAACAAAGATTATGTGAATCTCATATCTAAAAGGGACATTTACACAAATCCACTGGGTACAATTAGGCAAATTAAGACTTAAGCAACTTCTTGTATCCATTGCTATATGTAATTCTTTGCTTTGGCAGTATGAACCAAACATTGTTAGGTTTAATTACTCAAACCACTACAGAATCATTTTAAAACATGTTGTTGTCTCTTCCACAAGATGGAGTGCAGTGATAATATCTGAGTATTTTCAAATTGAATCAATATATCATGTCTCCCATATGCTGAAAAAACCCTTTAAAAACTTCATCCAACCACGGCAAGACAAATCAGAAGCCCCTGTAAGGCACGTTAGTTGTGCCTGTTTCAGATGGGAGGAGTTCAGAATGCATCCCAAAAAAACAAAGCCCACAGGTTCTTTTAGGTCTTTTCTTTTGCATTCAAAATGAGCAGCAGAACTTAACAGTGATGAGAACTGAACTTTGATGGGATATAGCAACTGAAAAATAGTGCTCATACCCACTTGTAAAAGAAGATTTAAGAATAAAGAAATAATTTTATTAAATCAAGATTTTTGCAAAGACAGAAAGAATTGTTTTTTCTCTGCCTTGCAGTTCCCAGGCATAGCCTTGTGGGTGCAGGGCTGCCAAACTCAATCAAGAGTCGAACTCCTCAAAAATCAAAGCAGTATCAGTGGTTTGATTAGATGTAGCTTCTAGCATTCTGCTGGCATCCCATCAGCTGTGTGCTTAAGAGATCCATTTGGGAGAACGAGAAGCTTTCTTATTCTCTTCTTTAATGGTCTGAGTTCACTTTGTGCAGTCGTGATCTGATGTAGAGAGAGAGATGTGTTTAGTGGCAATCAGGTAAATGCACTTTGAATAGGGATTGTGAAAGACTCTTCCTTCAGACACCAAGCTCTGTAAGAGAATATAGTTTTAGTATCAATTTACATCCTTTCATAGCCATTTAATATGATATAGTGAGTTTTGGCATATGGCCTTACTCTTCTCAGAAAAAGTAGTCACCGTATCCCAGTTTGGAAGTGATATGGCTGCCAATGCCACATACTATGCAACATCAGCATTGCAACTACATCCTATTTGGAATATCCTCCTTATCAAGTTAGCTGCGTGGGCAATGAGGAGACATAACGGCTTGTCTTAGTCCTTAAAAATCAGCTGGAACAACTCTGTATAATAAAGTGACGCTTAGAGATACATTACTTTTCCTTTTATGTACACCAGGACTGCAGTACCACCAAGCGCATACCGTATTTATGTCTCTGCCTGGCAGGAGGCTTGGTGCTCCTTCGCATTTGTTAATCCTGCTCCTCAGCATCTTTTACCTGGATTTCTAAGGAGACGCCTCCAACTTTATAGGAACAGCCTGCTCCGCGCTGTGAAGTGAGAAAGGACACGGGAGGGTTGTGGCTCTGCTGAGCCCAGTTCGCACCGCCCGCGGGAGCGGGGCACGGGGGTGGCGCGGCCGCTCCGCCGGAAAGCGCCCACGGCCACCGGGGGCGGCGGGTGCCGCTCGGCCGGAGCGTGCGCGCGCCCCCGGGAGGCGGAGCCGCGGCGCGGGCGGGGCTCGGCGGCTCTGCGGCGGCGGCAGCGGGCGGGACGGGCGGCGCGGGGCGCGCTGCCGGCGGGCGGGACGGACGGAGGGAAGGGAGGGAGGCGCTGGCTCGCCTGCCTGGTCTTCGGTCCGCCGGTTCCGCGGCGCTGCCCGGGCAGCAGAGCTGCCGCCGAAGCAAATGGGGAGGCGGCACTGAGCGGGCTGCCCTCCGCGGGAGTCGGCATCCGAGGGCAGCGGCGCGGCGAGCGAGCAATGCCCCTCACTTCTCTGCTTGCGCTGCCCTTCCTCCTCCCGCTCCCGGCTCTGAAGCTTTTGTTTTCCCCGACCGCTGTGATGGCAGGAAACTTCCCGGAGGGATGGGCTCAGGCCGGGCTTGTGCTGCGCCGGGCTCCGCAGGGCTCCGGCCACACCGTGAGGTGAGGCGAGGCGAGCGGCGGTGTCGCGCCGCGGCCACGGCAGCTGGGACCGGCTGCTGCTCTGCCCGGCCGAGGGGCGGCGGGACGGGCGGCGGGAGCGGGGAGAGAGTTGCCCTGGGGACCCACGGCTGTGCCGCTTCCCCCGGCTGCGGTCTCACCGTCGGGAAGGCGTTCTAGCCCCGGGCATCCGTGCCCGTGGTCCAGGACTGCTTGGGGATCGGCGCCCCGAGGAGGCTGCGTGGGCACCGGGAGCCGGGCGCCTCTTCTCCCGGCGGGGCCGCCGGAACCGTCGGCTGGCAGTGGGGGCGGGAGCGCTGCCGGAGCCGGGTGGGCGCGCTCGGCCGCGTCTCGGGGCCCGTGGAGCCGCCTGTGGGGGCTTCGTCCTCCTCCGGCAGCGGTGGGGCCGGGTGCGGGGGCGGCGGGCGGGGGCCGCGCTTCCGGCCGGGGTTCCGTCCCGGGAGCTGGCCTGGCTCCCACCAGCTCCCGGGACACTGCTTAAAGAGGCACGGGGGAGCTCTCTGCTCGCTGTCACCTGCTCGTCAGGCTGCTGCTGCTTCTGCTCTACTCTCGAACCTGTCGGTGTAGGTGCCGTGTGTGCGTGCCGCTCCTGGAAAAAACAAATAGAAACATCTCGCTTGGTTTTGATGGTTTTTAATCTACTTAAAAGAGTATGTAATTTTTGTTTGCGTGTGCCGCATGGTTTTCCAAGCTTGTTTTGTAAAAGTCAAATGATACGCTGCAGCCTAGTGTATGTATATGTGTATATATATATAACAATGCATATGATAAAGTTTTTCTTGTAAATGAACAAAAACATTTTTCCAAGGAAACAGTTCATTTGCAGAAAGATACAGGTAACATAGGAATTTTTAATGACCAGAGCTAGGCAAAGTGGAAAAGTGAGACCCGTGCCCAAGAAGGTTGTTAAACAAAATTGTTTGTCCTTACTGAAATGGATAATGAATGCTTAAGCAGTGGCAAATGGGTTTTGCATATTGCATTTTCTGTGGGACATATTGCACGTTCTAACATTAGAGCAAAGGCATCAGATTATGAAAAGGTCAGTTTTAAATAGACCATTTCAAGTTAACTGAAAATATAAAGAAATGTCAAAGAGATTTGTTTAACGATTAGTTACACAGAATAGCTGTGTATTTTCAGTTGTCAAATATGGGGTTTTTTGTTCTTTTTGCGCAGTTATCTATTGTGAAAATGTATTTGCCTATGTTGCTGTAGCTCCAGCATAATAATATAGACCCACTAGTATTACATTCTTGGTCTACAGAAGTAAATTTGGTAATGACTAGTAATTAGAAGAAGAATAATTTCTAAGTAACTTCCCTTTGAAATATCTACTGCCAAAAGATCAGCACTCTAAAGTATGTTCTCTTAGCTGTTCTACCTTTCTTTTTTATTAGAGAGTAGCCGTCCTGTAAGAATGTATCCTAAATGTATAAAACTTTTTTTTTTTTCAAGTGAGAAAATAAATGAGACTCAGGAAATTAGTAGTTCATATGCAGTGTCTGCCTACTCAGAGGAAACAGAAAGAAGGCATGATGAACTCTACGAGTTTTTAATTTTCTTCTTGTGTGCTACAATGCGTAGGTGACTTTTGTCAGGTGCTGCTGATCAGGCATTGCTTGTGTGCTTCATCATTGCATTTGCCACTTTTATTCCTCTAGGCATAATAAGAGATAAAGCTTGGAGAGGCTATGATCACTTCTCTGTAGTTAATGAAATGCACCCAAGACCATTTTCTGGTTCTGAAGCTAAGTGCTGTGGGTTAGCCCTTGTCAATGCTGTTTAACTCTCTTGCCTTCCAGAACAGGAAATTTGCATGGGAGACCTGTAGCTGGCTTATGTTACGAGGATGCTGTGCTGGTGTGTGGCAGCTCAGCAGTCTGTGTGACAGTGAATTCCATTTCCAGGGAATGATTCCTGGCATTGCTTGGTTTACTGGTGTGGACATGGTCTATCTGTAACGTAGTCTATCTGCAGGTAGCCTCCCTTAACTCTGTACTCAATTGTAGTGATCTAATTTCCCTGCATTTAAGATCTCTGGCACTATAAAATGCTGCTTTTCATAGTCATCTGCTTAGAAGTGCCAGGGCTGCTTTCTTCCTTTTTTCTCTGCTTGTGCATGTGTGTGAAGAGGGAGTAGGTGAAGGTTTGGTGGTTTTCTCACTTGTCCATAAGGGAGAGCTGACGAGGACCAGGAAGAGGCTTATGTGACTTGTTCTGGTTGTCTGGGAATGTGCTCCCAAGGGCAGTGCATGTCCTTAAGCAGTCCTGATGGCTAGATGTGAAGGTCCGTGGCCTGCAGTCAGGTGGACTTCCATAATTATTTTGTTACAAGTAGCAAGTTGGACAGAGCAAGTTGTTTTGATTTTTTTAATGCTTCAAAGGATGTCAGACTTAGTTGTTAAAAATAAGGTGAGGCAAGAGGAAGTATAACTATCATCTAAGAAATCCTACTTGTATCCAGAAGTAGAGTTTCAGGTAGAAAATTGTCAGGTTTTGCTGCCTCTCATAGACATATAAAATACTTTAATAGAATGGTGTACTTTTTATCTCTATAATTTGCTGGCAATTTTTATTTTGCTAACCTAGCTAGTAGCACAGTTTGAACTTGAATAGGAAAGTTGTTTAACCATCTCATTTCCAGCTGAGGATAATACCTAGACACTAGCGTAAATCTGAAGTATATGATGGGACCGGGTTAATGCTCTAAAGTGCTTTCCCAAACAGGCAGCTTGGCCTGTGTAAAAGCAAATTTGGTTTTACCAGACCAAAAGTCTGGTTTGGTAAGGTGGATTTACACTTAAACATGTGTTGGAGGTATCTGAGGAGTCCCTTTGGTTTGAATGGCACTTTAAGAAATCTCTTGCATAGCTGTAACCTAATTTACCTCAATCTAGATGTTTATTATACACAAGCTGTGTTTAAAAGAATATTATTGAGACCACATATGCGCAGAAGAGTTTGGAAATTTAAAGCTTTGAAGTAATGATGATGTGGCCGGTGGGAACTGTGCCTTATATTATCTAAGACCCAATTTTTTTTCAGAATGCTTTGCATCTCGAATAAGACAACCAAAATTAGTGACTGGTTATGACTTTTGCATCTCTCCTGGATTTTCTCCTCCTTGTAGTTCCTAAAGCAAGGCTTGAATCATGTTGATTAAATGTGACATGGTGACGTACAATAATTGTAGAGAAAGTAAGGTTTTGAACACTTGTTCATCTTGGTAAGCAGTGCACCTTCTGAAAGAAGATGGATTCTGTGTGGATAAGTAGTATTTAGTCACATAGTTAAAGCCTATGTCAAAGGGTTTAATTGAAGTCACAGGGTTTAACTGCTACTTTTCAAGTCTTCAGAACTTGACTTTCAAACCTTAATTTTATTTAACATAGTTTTTGGGCATGTAATTTTTTCAGTGATTTTTTTTTTTTTTACGCCTAAAAGAAATAGAAGCAAAAGGTGTATTTTTTTCTGGGATATTTTTTATCATTTCTGATGTCGTTAGCCGAGTGAAAACCTCTAAATGCCAGCTTAGGCTGTAACTTCCTAAAATGTAATAGTAGGTCATGATCCATCGGTGGTTTGACAATAAAGAGAGATAGCACCTTTATACATCGGATATGAAATAACCCCCATTACCTCCTATTTTTTATGTAGCACAATATAACTGACTTGAAGCGTTGATGCACAGTTCTCATTCTGTTTGCCGCAGGGTGATGCTGTCTGGTGACTTTACTGTTGTTTTCCCTGCAATATTTTACTTACCTGTTTCTTCCTGCTGCTTTCTACATTTTCCTGCCAAATCCTTTTCTTGGTTGATTTAATAAATAATTTGTAGTTGTTAGTCACTTCATTTGGCCAGTGTGGCTATTTTGTCCTAATCTAGTGTGCAGCCCTATGGTTGCATGGATCAGGTCAGCTGGCCAACCAGATCAGGTCTAAAAAGCGAAGGGGAAACTGGCTTTCAGATCCAATGCTTGGATTTTTCAGGCTGTAGTGAAGAAATAATTGCTGTTCTAACCTGGGTGAACTGAGGCTGGGACACAGAATGACAGAATAACTTGAGATTGGAAGAGACCTCCGGAGGTCATGTAGGCCACTGCTCTGCTCAGAGCTGAGTCAGGTTGAAAGTTAGATGAAGTTGCTCAGGGTCATGTCCACTTGAGTTTTTAATATCACAAAGGATGGAAATTACACAGTATGTGTGAGTAACCTGTTCCAGTGTTTGACCATTGTCACTATGAATTTTTTTCCCTAAGGCCTATTTCAAGTTACCATTCTGTAGCTTGTGTCAATTTTCCTGGTCCTTTCCTGAAGAAAGGAAGAATTCCTTCCTTCAAGAAGAATGAGGTTCTTGTGCTCTTAAAAGCAGCAGATATTTTTCTAATATTTTTCTAATGCTTAATAGGACTTTCTGTTAAAAATATAGATAACTTTTGCCAAGTACATAAAAACCAATTCTTTTCCAGCCATGGTTGCACACCTTATTCAGTAGCAGGCTGGACAAATCAGTTGGATTACTTTTTTGTTTATGGAGGAAAAATAAAAGTCTTTTGCTAGCCTTTCTTTTTGAGACAGATGTTTGAATTTTCTCCTTTCTCACACATGATCATTCATTGTATTTTCCATCAGGTGACTGCCTCATTGTGTGTGGTGAATAGATGCTGATGGTTTAGGAGGTAAATCTAAGTCTTCAAGCTGGGCTTATGAAAGCCAGCTATGTCATCCTGTAATTTTTTTTTCCCCACCTTGTTAGGTGTATGGACCCCCTGCATGGGAAATTTGAACCCACTGACTACAGGCTACTTTTGAGGGCTCTGTTAGAAATTATGTGCAGAGTACTACACTCACATTGAGGTAGTCTCAGCTCACCTTCCAGGCACTGTCAGTGGGGAGAAAAATAAGCCTGTTCAGAAAGTAGTTTTATTCTGCCTATGGCTGTATTATTTGCTCAGTGTCTCTCTGCTTTGTATCATTAC